CAATAAAATTTTGAATGAGAGTCAACAAACGAGATGACGTGGCCTTTTACCCGTGACCCGCCTCGAAAGGGTTAAACACTTTTATAGATAACTAAAGAAATGATAAGCTGCTAGTGTCATTCTTTATTTTGCTCATGGCGAAGGTTTCTTTCATAGTTGTTTAGTCTTGTTTGAAAAAAAAAGAAAGTTTTAAGCAATGTAAAAACAAATTAAAAAAGATAAAGGCTCTAAGTGCTTTATTTTATTTGCAGTTTTATCAAGAATTAATTAAGAAAAACTTTTTAATGATATAGATCAAATGATGTCTGCAGGCCAGCAGCAGGGTCAACCATTTCCATCTTCCCAGCAGCAGCCAGGGATGGTCCATCCAGGTAAGTTTGTATTTTGATTTGTGATAAAATTATGGTTTTATGGTAATTTTCCTTGTGCTGCATTTGATGCAAGATTTCATTCCTTAAATATCTTGCTCAATATCTCAATAAACATAATAATTTACTATTTCTTATGATTGTTTTATGTGTCTCAACACCACTACCAGCATCATAGTTTACTGTTTTAATCCTTGTTTTGTCTGGACGCCACTACCAGCATAATTATTTACTATTTCTTATGATTGTTTTATGTGTCTCAACACCACTACCAGCATGATAGTTTACTGTTTTAATCCTTGTTTTGTCTGGACGCCACTACCAGCATAATTATTTACTATTTCTTATGATGATTGTTTTATGTGTCTCAACACCACTAACAGCATCATAGTTTACATTTTTATCCTTGTTTTATCTGAACGCCACTACCAGCATGATAATATACTATTTCTTATGATTGTTTTATGTGCGTCAACACCACCATTAGCATCATAGTTTACTATTTTTATCCTTGTTTTACGTGTTTCAATGCCACTACCAGCATCATAGTTTACCATTTCTTATCTTTTTTTTGGCCAGGGTTGGTCTAGTGGTTAGCATGGCAATCATTGAGCTGAGGTTCTGTTGTTCATGTCCTGTTACCACAAAAAATATACCTCTCTGCACATTAGGACAGAGGGTGCATTGTAAGAGTGGCAGTAAAAATCCCACTATTCAGTCTAACAAGAGTTATCAAGAAGAAAATAACACTTATATTACGAATAGACAGAAGCCAGTAACTTAGTTTCAGTCAAAATACACTAATATAAATAAGTAGTGATTAATCCTCCCCACTATAACCATCACTTCATACGTCAGAAAAATTTAAACATTTGACAAATAGACTTAAACCATAAATTAAAAAATCTCTGTCAAAATACTTTATTTAGTAACTGTGGCGCTGCTTGAACTTGTCAAAAAGTTTCACGCATATAGCTGCAAAGTAACAATAATAGTCATTGGGTGAGAAAAGTTAAACAAGTAAATTGCAATACAATAACCTAATAATAATAATATAACAGTTGACAAGACTTTATCCCTAAGCATGGTAGTGCTTATTATGTATGGATGGGCTGAGAAAAAAATGGCAGATACATATTATGTATTGCTCATCACAGTCTCAAATCTCTTATAACAATCTAACTTAGGCTTTCAAAAGCTATTAAGATCTTCAGTTTTGCCAAAAAACATCATAGAGAACCAGCAAGTAGTGTAACATCCAAATGTTCTGATGATTATTATGATTCTGGTCAGAAGGGCTAGCTCACCAATGTTTGAAGTTGTTGCAATGATTTACACATCAAAATGTTGAATTTTAACTTTGGGAATGTAGTGTTTTACTAACTTCAACACATGATGACCATCAAAACAACTCATCATGCCAGGCTAAAACTGCAGCCTTCATAGCAACTGCCATTCATTAAAAGAAAAGGGGGGGGGGATGTAGGGATGGCAATGTCAAAGGTACAGAAACAAGGTAGGGATGAATACAAAAATCATTAGGTAAGTAGCCATTGAGGCAATGTTACAAACTTATGAGAATTAGCCATTGCAAGACTGTGTAGCATTATTCAGTTTAAATGCTTTTCTTCAAACTTGAATTCATGCAAATGAAAGGAATTCAGCATACAGTTGTAGATAAGTTTTTCTTGGAAAGATTTGGCTATTTATGTACAGATTTTTGTATGGTTTTCTGTATTCTTCCTTACCTTGCTTCTGTAGTTTTTGGCATTACCATCCCTACATCTTTATTTTTTTACTGGTGAACATAGTAATGCATATAGGTCTATTTATAGCAAGGCTCTGTTCAGTATTCACCCACTGCTGAGTAATGCTATAGGATAATACTGGTTTTTAGAATTACATTTAACTGCCCTAGAAATATGTCTATATACTACTAAGTATTTGTTTATCCATAAAAGTTCTGCTGTAAGTAATTGAGTATTTTCTGTCAAGAGCATTACTCTGTATGTGGGCTTAGTCATTTTTACTGACCTTGTAACTTTGAATGCACTAAGTTTATCTTCACAAAATTTGGTAAGCTTTTAGGAAACATTACAAAGTATTCTTTCTGAATATATGAATCCTTTACAGAGTCAGTCTGAGTGAAAGGTGATTTTCATTCTCAGAATACAAGTTCTTTTTGTCTTACAGTTTTCACATTTCATCTGCAGAACCTCTAAAATGAAAATCAATAATTATTTTTGATAAAATTTTATACTTTATCTCATTTTCTCTGTTGCAAAATCATCAATGTGCAGTAAAATGAAAAGTTAAAGTATTAAGTTAAAAATACTTTTTTATTTAACTGAATGGCTACAGATCAAAACAGGCAATTACAGTTATTTATTTTAACAGATTCTAAGTTTCTAATATATGATTATATTGTACTTAGGGTAAATAATTGGATAAAGTTATGTCACATACCCTCAAATTGTGTGATTAATAGACAAACAATAAGTCATATATGTTATTTCTAAACATATTAATATTTGAATGAGGTATTGCTTGAGAGTGGGTAAATGTTAGTATTCAAAACTATTACAGCTCACATTGCAATATATAATCTACACCATCAAAAACTGGAAACACTCATTGTAACATTTAGGTCAATAATAATGGAGTTGTGTATATGTTTTTTTAGGATTTTTTTTTTATATTTTCATGAAAAGGATAGTAACGTAAACTACCCTGATGTAGTTTCTTTCTCTGTGGTTACACCATCACATTTCGTCTGATCATTAATTAAGACAGGTTCATGTCGGTTGAAACATGTAATCCACACTTAGGAACCTTGTCAAGGAAGTTAATACTTTGCTTCTCTGGAAGTAGATTAATGTAGATATTATATTTTCATGTAACATAAAATTGGTTTTTTGTTCCAGGTGGCCAGCAGTATCAGCAGAGTAACTTCTCAGGCCAGCAGCAGTCTCATCAGAACTACTCCACCAACAGCCCACAGCAAGGTCCTTACAGTTCATATCCAGCAGGTTCTCAACCTCAACAGCCAAGTCATAACTTTTCTCAGTCCCCATCATCCCAGTCTCAGGGCTATAATCAGAGTGGTCCTCCCACTTCTCAGGGGCAGGGCCAGGCTTACCCATATCCCCAATCAGGCCCTCAGTCTTCTGCCAGTCAGGGGCAGTGGTATCCTCCTCCAAGTTCCCAACCCTTTTCAACTGCTCCAACCTCACAATCCAACTATTCTGGCCCTCCTATGTCTCAACAAAACTATATGGGCCCTAACCAACCTAACTATTCTTCCCAGGCTAACTTTGGAGCTTCCCATTCTCAACCATCATCTCAAACAGCCTATGGCCACCCTAATCCAAGTCCAGGCCCCCAGGGCTCCACTCCTCCACCCCAGCAGTCACGTTACCCTCCTGGTTATAACCAACAGAATTTTGGCCACTATCGACCTCCTTCCCAGCCACAAAGCCACATGGCTCCTCCTCCCCCTTCACAGAGTCAGACATATGGTTATGAACAGAATCCAGCCTATGGTGGGTATCAACAGCAGTAGGTTTGGTATCGATCTTGTACTTAACGTGACACTGCGTCATCCTTTTAAAGTAGTTAGTCTGTATTGTTGTATTACAACAAGCTCAGAAAACATGCTTTTTCAGCTGATCTTCTCCAGTTATTGCTGGAAACTTAAGTTCATTAAAAAGGCCTAAAACTGATGTCTTAAGGTGTTTGGCACTTGTGGTTCATTGTGTATTAAAAATTAATCATACCTTTCAACAGATAGTAACTTTAGTCATCATTGAATTTCTAAAGCATAATACCAAACCTTTGACTTTGTTTATTTTCATTAATGCTACATGTACTATCAAACATTGACTTATTGATAGGTTTACTTAAGGAAAGTGTATGTGTGCTGTTATTAATTGTATACCATTTCCTATCTTCCAGTCATAGTACCTATAACTTTACAAGAAAAGAAAGATACTGGTTAAAGTATGTACTGTTGTTGGGAGCTCATTGAGAAAGTAGCTCTGTTAAACTTTACAGATATGAAAAAATATTGAAATATAAAAGCATGAGAAATTTAACTTATAAATCTTATAACTTGAGCATATACTAATATTTCAACAAAAGAACTTCAAGTTTATTGCTTTACATAACTGAAATAACTCCTGTTGTAATTGTGCAGTGTCCGCAAGATGAATTAAAGCTGATTTCTACACATTTTCTGCAGTATTTTTTAAAGCTTTGAAACTGTGCTAAAAATGTTCGAATAGAAACAGCCTCCTGGTCAAGCCCATTTGTCACTATATCTGGATTAGTATTCCAGAATATTTTGTTACTTCAGAAATTCTTTAACAGGTGTAAGATGGTAAAACAACTATTATGTAAGACTGAGTAAAGAACATGATTCCTAGAAGACAGCTGTACTGGTCATTCTATAATTGTATTAATAGCTTAAAGGTGGCTACATTATACTGATTAGTATGTGCCCATCAAAACCAAAACTTTTTTACACTGTGTAATGGTTAAAATAGTTGATTAAAGGTTAACTAATAAATTTTTAATTCATGAAGCTCTAAAATAATCATGTTAAAAATTTGTTTTGCAAGGTTACTGGTAACCTCTTAAAATGTAAATAAGAAATTGTTTTCCCTACTTGAGAATTTGTGGATTCCATTTTTAAAAAATTTTTCTCCCCCCCCTTTACTCAGCAAGTTTAACTTGTGATTTTTCTTCATTTAATTAAAAAAATCAAATCACATTTTAGTTACTATGATTGTTGAACATCTAACATACACCAAGTACATGCTCGTCCTGTTTATTTCATTGCCCAGTGGTTGGGGTGATTGACTTGCCATCTGCAGGTTCAAATACCATCACTGAATGTGTGCTCATCCTTTCAATCATGGGGTGTTAAAATATGACTGTCAATCCCACTATTCTATTAGTGTTGCCCCCACAGTTAGTGTGGTGTTGACTAGCTGCCCTCTATCTTGTATAGATATCCCTCGAGGAGCTTTGTGCAAAACTCAAACCATTTAAACCTACTTTGTTAAGGTAACATCAAAATAATATTTCTCAATGATAAATGTATTAAGTGTGAATACTACTGGTATTGTTACAGTTATGCAGTATTCACAGAATGATATCAAAATTATGACAAAACTCTACGTTACTTCTACTCATAGCACTTTGAGGTGGTAAAATGATTTTATAATACTGGTGGTCTGTTACAACTACATGTTCTGCCATAGTATGTCTTCCTTACATCTCTGCTTTCATGAAAGTTTTTATTCAGATACTTACAAAGTCTAACATAAATGAAAAAATAAATACAAATTAGGGAGAAGTGACAACAGTATCTAGAATAATGTTTCTTATACCACTCCACTACGAACAAATGTAAAATATTATGCAATTTATTACATCAATTCTTACATTACATGTCCTTATTTTAAGAACAAGTTGAGATTTTAGGTATATAACACAAGTACAAGTGCTTCAGAATTTATTTTAATGTGTGACTTATTTTTAAAAACTATACTCGTTAAATTTGATGTTTAGTTAGGTTCTATTGGTAATGGAAAAAAACCTGCATGACATCAGGTACAGTTTGAATAAGTTATTTAAAACAGAAACACATACACAATTAAATATTTTAATTTGAAATAGAATATTTGCTATTTTATGGTGTTTTCACAGTTTGTAATTTATGGTAAATCTTTCTTTAGCATGTTAATTTTAAATATATATTTACTTCTTAGGCAAAACAAAATAAGACTGGATACTCAATATTTGACTAAGCATTTGCATCTTCATTGGTTAATTATGTGAACATAAAAAAAAGCTTTTACAAAGTTACTTTTAAGAGTACCACAAACATACTTAACCATCGACACTTTGTGCCAGCACATCTGGGATATTTCCCCTAGTCGATAATGTGGTAAAAATCCTGAGGGTTTCTTAATATGATAAGATAATCAGAAATAATGTATTACATAAACAATCTTGAGGTAAAAAAAAAATCATAGCTTACAAGTAAAGTAGTAACTCACCTAAAGCTCAAAAAGGTGCCTGAACTTTGTAAATTAAAAACATGTTTAATACATGCTGTTGTAACTTAACCAAGTTTACTTGAATGAATGTGTAGAGATATAAAGATATACCATTTGAAATTCTGTTGTAACCATAATTTGTATAAAACCTCTTGCTACTAGGAAAAGACATCACGATGTTGACATTCGAACTAATGTTGAAGTCTAAAATACATACAGATTCTTTGACAGCACTGTTCCCACAAGGACAATGAATGCATTAGCTTGTGGAGACAAGAATCCCCCACCACTGCTAGGTCTTGTTTGACTGTCAGGCTCACTGATGTCATTACATCCATCACCACATTCATTTTCATCACAAATGTCACAAAGTGTAGCTTTATGAGAATAATAGAACATTCGGGCAGTTTTTACTGAAATAGAAATCATAAATACAGCTGTCTCAAACTGCAAGATCTCATAATATAGTTTAACTCCAGAACTAGTAATGAAACAGACATGTTTAGTATTTTTTAGTTGTACATTGGTTCTTGCAAAATCTTAATTGGTAATTTTTGGAAAACCTACTTGCCCACCAACCCCCAGGTAGAAGGTTAGTAGGAAAACAGGGTTTACCTCAGACACTACTATTACTAGACAGCTTTTTTATAGCACATGTTATTAGAATAAACATGGAAATTTCATATCAGAGGGTAATACAGCAAATTGGCTTGGGGGTTGTAGGGAGAGCTCAAAGCAAAGAAAACTAATAGATACTTTTAAATATGTTATATTTAGTTGCATTTACTCAGATGGGTTTTGGGTTAGGACATAATTAAAAAAAACTCGATATGGAGAAAAAATTAAGCAAAATTATTATTTTTTATTTCTGGCCTAACTTTTTCATGTGATTTTTCAAAGTGCTCCCAAACTTAGCCTGTATTACACTCTGCATATGATGAGGATTGGCATTTAAACTAATGGTTAGTAACAGTTTCTCTTCATTAACCATTACCAGTTGGAATCCCTATGGATTTCTTCTGTGTTTGAAATATCAATACACTTAAATGTTTGTGGGTCCATAATTTTGTTGGTTACAGAGCCCTACCAACATGAGTAACACAAAATATGAATAGTATAGCAATTAATCGCACTAACTTTTATGGTTCCTTATGTACTTTACATAGGACACTCATTTTCATCCAGTTAGTTGAGTATTGTAACACGCAAGTCACTGGTAGTGATCATTATATAAACAAATCAGTAATTTGGGAGTTACATCATCTGACTATATGGCAGGAATTGAAAGTACAAGCACAAGGATTGCTACTAACATTTAGATTAATCTATAAAGTTGAAAACATCACTCTCCGAAATAAAATTAACCAGTTTAAGTAAGTAAAGTTTGGTAACTGTTATTGAATTTCGAGCTATTGATTTAAAGGGCTGTGGGGGTAATGATATACAGTAATTCATAATTAGTGCAATATTGTTAGAGAATCACAAAAACAGAGGGTACATGGAGGATGATACACAAAGGAAAAATGTCTGGTTGTTCAGATGTTAAGAGAATGAATGCCTACCCTTTTTTCACATAAGCAGGACACACAAGAATGTTGAAGCTTAAACTTCCAGAGTGCACAGAACTAATTTTACTCTTTTTGGAAAAAATTTATCATAAGTGTTGCAACAGCTAATGCGTTTGCTAGCAAGCACTCTGATAGAGACAACTGCATTAGGAAGAACAGTCTGGATGAAACACAGAAGAGTAGGCAGATGCATATCAGCAATTACAAAATATGGAAAAATTTTAGCTGAAAGATAAAATGGTAAACTTACCTCGATTGTAATAGTCATAAACCTTAACTGGAACTGGTTTCTGGTATGCAACTTTGTGGTTTCTGTGAGCTGGAACTGTCAGGCAAATTTCTTCTTTATCAAGCTTAAAGTTAAATACACATACTTTACTATCTCTTGGTAAAGCAATGTTTTCTTATAGTGTTAAAAGAATACTTAAACATGTTAATTAGGTGCTGTTTTAAGAGATTTAAGTTTATTTGGGATTGTTTTTGCTCCTTTTATCAAAGAAGTCACACAACGTGGCTTGAAATTTCTGAACCGAGTTTAAAACACAGTAGTATAATTATTATGTAGAAAAAAGAAGAAGAGTAGGTATTTACCATATCAAAGTAGATTACAACTTTAGTCTGTCCATCAGCAGTCTCTACACGCTTTGTTTTAGGAATTTTGAGGATGCTAGGAAGAGCATCAACATCTGCTAGATAACCAGATGGCAACTGTACATCCATTACTGCCATGTTACTGGGTTCGTCTTCGTTATTCCTGTACGAGGAATGATACAATTATGTTATCTCTCTATGGAAGTTTTAGTATAAAGAAAGTTTATATTAAATATATATAAATTATCTGGATGATTGTTTTAAGTTAATGTGAAATTCCTAATAAACTGTGTGGGAATGGTTTAGCTTATAAAGGACATATTTGTCTACATGGGATAAAAAAGGATCACCTTGAATTTACCACTATTAGTAAGTGGGTTATGGGTGTCAGATTACTGGAAAAAGAAATCCTAAATAAGTCAAGTTTGTAATTATTATTAAAAACAAAAAACTTGCAAGTCCAGTTAGCTCTCCTGTATTTCATAAAGCTTAATAAAATTAAAATCTCTCAGCTCAACTTGGATAAGTAGCTTAAAAATAGGTAACTGCAGCAGTAAGGATTTTAATCATTTAAGTAGTACAAAATTTACATCTTTGTCATTTAACTATACGGTTTACTATTTTAAATGCTTACAGATTATTATCCAGTGTTTGGTATAATCAGGATATTTTTTCTCTGTAACTCACCGTGTACATACACTCAGCTGTAGGTAACTTCGAGTTGATGTCTTGTCTAAGAGAGGATTTAAGAAAAATGGAGGATATTCGGCTGATACAGCCAGATTGAAGGCCCAAGATACCTGTAAATATAATTACATGCAGTAATGTTTGTACGAGTTATAAGAACACAGTTTATATATACCATGGCTTGTACTAGCGAGTTTTAATTAAGGACAACACAAAATCTGAAGATACTTAAATAAGGCTGATAAAAATAGGTGAATAAGAAAGGAGCTCAAAGAGACAGTAGTGTGATAGTGTTTATTAACCCATTGACTACTAGTTCACCATACAGGGTACAGTACGCCTCCAGCAGTTGAATGTGAGTGTGCTGTACACAGTGTGTGCCATAGTCAAAGGGTTAAATCTTCAGTGATAATGCTAGAGCAAAATTAATTTGTGTGTGGTTATCACAATTGTAGCATTAACTGAAACTATAGTAATAAAAATGTTAAATCCTTCTTGTGCCTTTACAAGACATGTAGGGCTGATGCTTTTAAACTCTAAAATCAAGTTATATGAGCAGATGAAAATGGTTACACATTCCTCTGGACAGGATACCAGTCCATTGCAGGTTAACCCACACCTAACTGCTAGGTACCCATCGTACAGTTGAGTAGACTGGAACAAATGGGATAAAGTAATGCAGGTTAGCCACTGACTTGCAACCAGTCAACTGAGCCCAAAGCCACTGAATCATACTGCTCCAAAACTGTAATTGCAGTCAAGTCTATTTGATTTGAGTCATTGGACTAAAGGTAGAAGCATGGCAATATTTTGCTCTCAGTTAAAACCACTTCTGATGATAATCCTTCCTTCTCCAATTAAAATGCAAAATTACAAGGTTTTATACGTTGGATACCTCCACTCAGTGTGCTATGGCATATTAAAATTGAAAAAAAATGAGTAACTTTGAAAATTAATTAAAACAGGTTTATTTTATTTTTCCTTTTAAGTCAATGCTATCAGAAGAACACTTATTATTTACAATTAAAAAAATTACCTGAACAAGTGCAATACCATAACCAGAGGCTTCTAGTTCAACATAACGAGTTGTTTTAGGCAGCTGAAAAAATATAAAAATCAAAAACCACCATAAGACTTGTTATTTGTATCTTGATTATTGAAGTAATGTAGAGAAACTTTGGTTTATTGAATATCTCCAAAAATATAAACAAAAAAACACTTTTGCAATTATTAAAATAAATCAGTTCACAATAAAATCCTACATCTTTGTGTAAGATGTCAGAAAAAGTGATAAGAACAACAACAAACTCAATAACCTTGGGATACACATTAAAAATATATATGCCAGTAGACAGCTGCATCAAAGAAAGTCCTAGTTATTCTTAATGCAACATTAATTTCAAGTTACTTTAACATAAAATATTCTAAAGATTTTCACTTTCAGGCTGAAATTTTGCACATCTGTTATGCAAAAATACCAGAAGATCTTATAGTAATCAGGTAGCTTTACTTCAAAAAAAATTAAACAATTAACACTAAACATCAAAAGTATTGAAAATTTAGAACAAAAATATACTTTAAATATTAAGGCAAATGATAAAGTTTAAGAATCACTGCTCAAAATTCGAACTTCCATTTAAAGAAACAGTGCCATCATATCTTTTTTTTTCTCTCATTATACTTTTTAAAATGATCAAGTATTTTAAATCTCACAAGACACCCTACCTCAACACTCTGTAGGATAACTGCATTGTCACTAGAAATTTTCATGGTTTTTGGAACTTCATCTCCATATTTTAATGTAACATCTACAGATATAGTTGCTGTCACAATACGTGTGGCAAGTTCGCCAAGAGCTTGGATCCCAATAACTGTGTCCTGCAATGATGTTATTCAGTATAGTCACAAATCTTTAATGTTTTTTAATTGTTCAATGATAAAAACTGTAGTAGAATACAGTTTAGTTAGCCTTTTAAGACACCCAGTGGATTGGAGAGTACTAGAAAAGACAGGGAAGGTGTTGGCTGTCCAAGTATACTTTTAGGCTTCATTATTATGAAACCTTTTGTTAATTCTTTGCTAGTGTACTAACAAACTCTTAAGTATTTCGTTTATTAAAAACATCACAACTGGCAGTAAGGATTAAAGCTTTTGCAAGGAACAGGATCTACCACTGCTGGTGCTGCTCAACATGAATACCATTTATCTATGTTTGGAATATAAAATATGGAAAGAATATTTCCAAGAGATTGTCAATGGTTTGGATAAAGGTAGAGACATAGCAAGATAAGCAACATAACTGCAATGCCTGGGAACTCCTGTAAAATGTTTTTTTTTCTAACCTACAAGCAGAAAAAGATACATTCAATTAAACCAAAGATGCTTTAGATGTTTAAAGTTGCACCACATAAGAACATTGTGTTAGACACAGATTCAGGCAAATAGCACAGTTATATGAAGAATCTATTCATTCCAATATGTATGCTTTAAAAGAGCAAGCAAAATCATGTGAATTTGGGACACTTGAATCAGATTTTATAAGAGGTCAGGAAAGTGAAAAGTGGGCTTTCAAAGGACTGCCTGAGAAACTGTTGCAGCAGGAAGTCTTAACATTAGAACTCACCCTCACAATAACTTGAATAGAGCTGGGCAATTAAACTCAATTAATTCATATAGTCAATTACCTATAAGCATCAACTACACTGATTAGGGTTTTTGTAAAACTATTGATTAATTGAAGTTATGATTCACTTTACTAATATTATGACTATATCATGGAAGCTAACTGGCAACTAGAGGACACTAATTTCTACAAAACAATTCTCACAGTTTATTAAGACCATAACTAGTAAGCTTAAAGAACTCCTCCAAAATAATAAAATTAACAAAGAGACCTTTCAGTATTTGATACCCAGACAAACTTTTTCCTGGTAGATTTTATCTCTTACCCAAAATACACAAACCTAACAATCCTGGCCGACCCATAATTTCTAATATAAACATGGCTACTGAAAAGCTGTCTGCTTTTGTTGGCCAACACATAAAATGTATTCCCTGTAACCTTCGAGGCCCTCTTACATAAATGATACTACTCTCTTTCTTAACATCATAGAAGATATTAATACTGATAGGACAGTTACCACCCAACAGTCTTCTTTGCACGATGGATGTTTCTTCCCTTTACACCAATATTCCATGTGATGAAGGACTACAAACTCTAAAGTCTGCATCATCAGAATCTCAAACAGTAACAGACCTCTAGCCTGATTTTAACTCTGAACAACTTCGAATTCAATAATGAGCATTACATTCAGGTTAATGGTACTGTAATGGGTACCAAAAGGCTCACAATTATGCCAACATTTTTATGGGTCATATTTTAAAACGAGCTTTTACTAATAAGCCCTGTAAAACCTCATACATGAAACGTTACATAGATGACATATTTTTCAATTGAACAGCCAGACTTAAATCACTTAAAGAATTTATCTCACATGAAAACTCCTTTCACAAAACAATCAAGTTTACCTGTGATTACTTGCCTACCCAGATTAACTTTCTTGATGCCACCATTTTTCTAAAACACAGAATTTTAAACACTGACTTGTACAAAAAAACCTACGGACAGACCACAATACCTTCACTATAAAAGCTGTCACCCCTCTCACACTAAACGAAATATTACCTTCAGTTAAGCTCTTAGAATAAAGAAAATATGCTCAGGTGAAACAGACTACAGGAAGCACACCAAGGATATCTAAAACAAAACATGTTACAAAGAAGATATAAAGATATCAAAATAGGACAGACAAACTAGAAAAGGA